AGTGCCGTGCCTGTGTACACCACGGCGCCTGTGTGCACCACAGCAACCGTGTGCAACACAGAGCTACTCTTGTATATTGAATGGAGCGCTTGTGGATTCCACAGAAAACAGTAGAAAATTATCCTTATGGACAACGGAGCGCCGCTGGAATCTACGAGTCCTCCCGAGTCCGCCCGCATCACCCTAACTCCTGGAGTCTGCGTCCAGGATGCTCGAGCTAAATTGGCCGTCCGAGAGCCAAGTGGACCGATTCAATAGACCATTTTGCAGTGCGCGCTGAGATGCGCACGTGCGCTGTAGCGCCAACCCGCACGACAGGGGGTAGAGAGGAAGAGCAGGAGGAGGAGGAGGAAGAGGAGGAGGAAAAGGAAAAGGAGGAGGAGGAGGTGGTGGAGGAGGAGGAGGAGGAGGAGGGAGGAGGGAAGAACGTCGCATTCGATGATCATCACTTTCCTGGCGTGGCGTCTAATTGTCAGCAGCAGATTCTCACGTACATGCTCCTTCTACCTGTCATTTACACGCAGGCATTGTGGTGTACACCAGCGCTGCCTTCCACGCGGATGCTGTGGTGTAGACGCGCGCTGTGGCGTGCACACTCGCTGCGGTGCACGCAAGCATTGTGGTGTACACAGGCGCTGTGTTGCACATGGTAGCTGTGGTGTACACCATGTACACCAGCGCTGTAGTGTACGCGAGCACTGTGATGTACACAGGCGCTGCGTTGCACACGGTTGTTGCGGTGTACGCAGGCGCTGTGGTATACACGCGCGCTGTGGTGCACGCGAGCGTTGTGGTGTACACAGGCGCAGTGGGGCAGATCGCCACCTGCATCATGCTGCTCGCGTCGTCGTCGTCGTTGTCGTCGTCGTCGTTGCTCGTCGCTCGTCGCGTCGCGCGCGCGGGCGCGGGCGCGGCTGCGGTGCCGGAGCCACACGGCGGGGGAGGGCGTTACGTCATACCCCCCCTCCCCCCCCCCCCACCCCATGATGCCCGTCATCGCCGAACATAAAGAAGCGCGCTCGATGAAAGACCTGTCTGGGGGAAGGGGTCCAGACTTCTGGGGGTCGACGCGGTGAACAAAATCACGACGTCGGGGGTCTGAGCAGTTGGGTTTGATCAGCAGGTCGGCCCGTCCAAGCCAAGGGTGCTCTCTTGTCCTGTGCGTCGCGACCCATTTCCTCTGCACTCCTGGGGCGATGCGGCCAGGGGTGGACTCAGGGGGAGGCGCATCGACCCCCGATCGCCCACTCATCGCCGATGTGGGCCCGATGTCCCACGCCCCAGAACTTGCGGACTCGATATCGGGGATCTGTCGCCGATCTATTGGCGATGCATCGCCGATTCTAGCTCGACGTTCACCCCCAGAGCCCCCGTCCCCCTAAGCCCACCCCCGTCATCATGAACTTTCGAGTCATAACTCGGCTCTCTGGTAGCCGTTCGGGGCGATCCGGGCAGCTCCGGAGCTCATTCGGCGAGGCGCAGCCGCTGGAAGACACTCCGGGGCTGGAAACCCACCGAGAACCGACCAAACCGCAGAAAAACCTCGATCCCGAAAACGCTCGCCTCCTGAGCCGGCCCCCCCCCTGAGGTTGCCCTTCTCAGCGTTGGGGTGTTGGAGGGCAACGACTGGCGGCCGCGCTGCCTCGCATGGCCGCGCAGCGCGCGGCGGAGCCCGCGACGAAGACGACGCTGGCGTGGGTGACGACGACGACGACGACGACGACGACGACGACGACGACGACGACGACGGCGGCGGCGTCGACGACGACGACGGCGTGATCCTCGCACCCCCAGCTCTTGGGGGGGGCCCAATCGGCCCTGGCACCCCACGTGGATGCGAGGGGATCCCCCCTGTGGGGGGGAAGCTCAGCTCCTCCCCCGGGTATGACTGGTCGGCAAAGGGGGGGGTTCCCTACCTCGTCTTCTCTCTTGAGGGAGGAAGAATCGTTTTACAGCGCGCTGCTCCAGCACAGGGCAGAGGGCAAGGTGACGAGAAAATCACTTTGCAAGTGTGGTCGTTTCTCGTGCGCTCCTCGTCCTGTCCGACATGGAAGACTTCAATTTAGGCTGCGTCCAGCTGGGAATAGGGCCCTCGAGAGCGGCAGACCTCTGCACAGCCGTTGTGGGACCACCAACTCAGCCTCTGAAACGGCGTGCGGACCGAGGGAGGCAGCGGCGTGGGCGTCTCTGGGATTCCCGGGGTCTCTCTCCGAGGGAGGGTGCTTCTCGTGCCCTCGGCCGGGCGCCGTTGTGAAAGTCTGGGATTCGGTTCCCGAGGTTCTCAACAACTAAACAATGTAAATGTTACCTGTTACCCTCATTTTTCCCCTGGCTCCGTGCGGAATGTACTCGGCCCTTTCCGCGTGCTGCTTCTTATAAAGGTTTCCCAAAGTTGGGTTCGTTCGGTTGTTTTGCAATCCGATTGGTTTCGATGCTTCAAGACGGTGCTCCCGCCGCAGCGTGGTCCTCATTTTCGGATCGCGCTTTGCTCCCGTCGTTCAGAATGGCGCTCTCGTCCCAGGGCGGGCCTCCGTTCTGAACCCGAACCTTTCTTCATCGTTGTCGCCCCCCTCGTTTCCCCTCCTCGGCTTTCCCCTGGTCCTCTTGCTCCTCCCGCTCCTTCCACTCCAGTTCCTGCTGCTGCTGTTCGTCCTCGTCCTTTTCGTCCCTCTCATCCTCCTGCTCACCCGCCACCTCCTTCTCTACACACAGCTTCCCTTTCTCCCGACTGCGCATAACACGATGTGGTCTGTGTGTGCGTGTTGGAAATGCAGGTCGGCTGTGACACGCGGCCGCAGATAGAGAACCATTCAGCGCAATTGGAAGGAGTGAGAGTGAGGAACATGATGTCAGATGAGGGGCGAGCGCACACAGCTTGCCCCCTCTCTCTCTTCCTGCCCCCTCCTCTGCTGCCCTCCCGGGGGAGCTCTGGCGGTCCTTCTGGGCTCGAAGGGGTCCTTCTCTATTCCCCCTCACGCCTCTTCTCCGCCGTCCCTGCTTCCCCTCCGTGCCTCTCTCCTCTCCTTCTTTCCTCGTTCTCTTGCCGCTCCGTCTCCGCGTTATCCCTCGCCTCCGAACACCCCGCCTTCAAGCTGGCGCCGAAGCGGCCTACCCGTCATACCCCCTCCGCCTATCTAAATTCTGTTCGAGCGGCGAGGACGAGGGCACTACGTAGAGCGTGCTAGGAGCACTGCATGCAGCGTCAGCGTCAGGGAGGGGCAGGAGGATAATAAGGAGCCCGGAGGAGAAGGCAGGTGGATAAAGAAAAGGTGGAGCAGAAGGAGGAGCAGGACGAGAAGGAGGAGGAGGAGCGGGAGGAGGAGGCAGGGCGGTCAAGAGGCAGCCGGAGCAGAAGGTGGAGAGCAATAGAGGACCCCTGGGGAGGATCAGGAGGGGGCTGGAGGAGGGGACTATCAATTGGGCTATCCAAGCGTTGGTAATGCCCCTCGGGGCTGCTACCGCCCCGCCGCGAGCGCCGCAACCCTGGAGAGCCTGTGAGCCAGTGCGGCGGGGGTAGCGGGAGAGAAAAGAGGTGGGGGACGAGGAGGCGGGGCCGCATTTGAGGCCGAGGCTATCGAATTTGAGACCGATTGAGTCAGCTGCATCACACAGGTCTCTGGGGGCAGTAGAACCGGCACCCTAGGGGCGCAGGCCGTATAATAATATTCAGAGAACCCCGCAATTGCGAATAAGAGTGAGGGGGCGGGCGCGGGCGACGCGGGCGTCGAGCCGGCGGACCTCGTGGCCCTGACCTTCCCTGTCGATGGCGCCCTCCTCCTCCTCCTCCTCCTCCTCCTCCTCCTCCTCGGCTGAGGGGGAGGTCGAGGCCTCCGACACCACCTCCTCCGACACCACCTCCTCGACAGCAGGTGCGACCTCTTCAAGATCCTCCTCATCGCGAGCACGCTCGTCCAGTACTTGTTCCCGGTCGTCGACCTCCTCTTCTCTCTCCTCCCCACCGTGTTCGGTAGACAGACAGTGGGAGTAGTGAAGGGCCCGCCCATATTCTCCCCGAATCGGGTGGTCAGGAAGATTGGTGCCCTGTCCTTGAGACTCTTTGCGAAGATGGTCGTGCAGCAGCGTCGGGGACGAGGGTCCAGCATCGTCCCATAGTCTCCGGGCGGGTGCAGCTCATTGAATTTTTCGTGGACCAGGTCCCACACCTTGTAGTCATGAACGTTCACAATCACGGTTTGGATGGGACTGCAAGGGGACATATTGGTCACGAGTGGTCCCGACTCAACGCGTGGGCCTAATAGTCTCCGCGGGAAAGGCTCTTCATCGCCATTGGGGACTTCAACATCCTCGACGAGCCGCCCTCCTCATACGTCCAACCCCAGCCGCTGTCCTTCGCCTCACCCGCTGGCGACCAACATCAGCAGGCATTCTGGCGCCGGCTCTTCGGGGGCATGGTGGAGGTCGAAAACAGTAAGCCTACTCGCTTCGACCGCCACACCCACACGGCCACGCGCATCGACAGGGCCTTCATCAGCCTGCCGTCGCACGCGGTCCCGAATCTCGACATTATGTTGCACCTGGACCAGGACGCGCTGGAGCTCAGCGACCAGGGGATGAGCGATCACGGCATCCTCTCCTTACGCCTCCAGCTACACGTCTCGACGGAGGAGCAGCATCAGAGTATCCCCTCCTTCATCTTCGACGTGCCCCAGTTCCGGGAGAACTACGACCTCCTCCACTCCATGTCGAATACGATCGGCCGTTCACAGCGCAACGGCTTCGCATCATGAAGTCGAACATCACCAACGCTGCGAGACTCACGCGGAACTTCCTCACGAGCCTCCCTGGTGGTGCCAAAGGCCAATCGGCCGCCGTTGCCCGCAGTGCCACGATGCGGTCTATATCTCGGGCGGTGCGGCGCCAAGATGAGGCCCTTGCTGCCAACCTCATCAAGCACACGGAGGTCGGGCGAGCCCACTTGGTCATCAATGGTTCGGCGGTGGCCCTCACAGACGAGAGCCAGTTCGCCGCTGCGGCTGTCGATGCTCATCGACCTCATGTTCGAGCTCTTCAGCTTCGTGCTCAGCAGCCGCGGCACTGGCTACACGTCGGCGTCGCACTCAGGACGCGGAGTACCACCACCAGCAACAGCGGCACCTTCAACGACGCAGTAGGCTGTGGGCTCCCTTTGCGACCCGCCTGCAGTTACACGGGGTGCGCGTGTCCCATGGGCGCACCATCCACAAGGATCCCGAAGGCATGCTGAAATCATTGCGGAACCATTGGGAGCCCATCTTTGCAGGTACCGCCGTCGATTCAGCGAAGCTCGACAGGTTCCTGGACCAGCATATCCCTCCCGACACCCCGGCAGCATGCATGGTACCTCCCTCAGCTGCGAGTCTTCGGCGTGCCGCGACAGGAGCCCGTGACTCGGCACCTGGACCAGACCTGCTTCCGTATGCGGCTTGGACCCGGATCCAGGGTGCCTTCGACCTTCTGGAGGACGTGGCCTTGGACATGTTTGAGCATTGGGCAGCACCGTTAAGCTTCAACCATTCCCTGTTCTCCTTCATTCCCAAGGATTCCGAGGAGGGGGACCTGGTCAATTGCATCCGCGACGCAGGCGCCCTTCGACCGATTACCAGGAAGAACACCGATGCGAAGATTATTGCGTCCGCCATGAACTTGCAGCTGGCGCTGCACGTCGCGTCGCACCCGCACCCTATCCAACAGGGCTTCATCCGAGGACGCAACTTCGGCGGCAACATCGTCGCCATCGACGCCGAGGCGCGCCTGGCCGGACTGCTTCCTGGCGTGGAGGACTACATGCCCATGCTTATGTTGTTCGACATCGCCGCCGCCTTCCCATCGCTGGGTCGGCGATGGCTGTTCGGTGCCCTCAAACGCTTCGGCATCCCGCAGTGTTTTTTGAACGGCGCCCATGCCTTGTATGAGGACTCGGAGGGCTTCGTTCTCCTGGGTGGGGTACATCATCGTTTGTGTACGCTGGCCGGTGGGGTTGCGCAGGGCTGCCCATTGTCAGGCAGTGTTTGGGCAATCGCAATGGACACGATTCTGCGCGCTCTTGCCCAAGTGCTCCCAGGGACATCGCCAATCCCAGCCCTTCCTCAAACCTCCTGCCCTTCACCAGCGGGCCACGTTCGGAGCGCCGCAGTGCAGCCAGAGGCGGAGGACCCATACATCCAAGGCTTACATCATGGCGGTCTTACTGCGGCGTGTGCTGACGACGTAGGCGCCGTCAATCGCAACGTGCGCCAATTGCCTGCGAATGCCAGCATCTTCGACTCTGCTGCCGAGCTCGGCAATCTGCACCTCCAGCCCAAGAAGAGCTACCTGATTCCGCTCTGGGCGCCATTGACCGAGGACGTGGTCCAGCGTGTCAGGCGCATCGTGGCCTTCTTGGTCCCCCAGTGGCGCGAGGTCCGCATCGAGGACAAGGGGAAGCACCTCGGTACCATCATGGGCCCCGGGGCAACAGCCGACGACCAATGGGGCCCGGCGGGCGACGGGTGGTGCTTACGAGTCAGACTGGCGCTCCAGTCGACTCGAACGTCCGCCTCTATGGCACGTCGTGGTTCACCGTCCTCACCTACCTTGCCCAGTTCTTCGGTCTGCCGCGCAACGTCGTGCGCAAGGAGTTCCACGCACTCCATAAGGCGTTGCGGCTCCCACCTTCCGCCTTCCGCCTGACCGACATACTATCTTTCGACGCTTGGTTCCCGACCACGGCGGTCAGGTCGATGCAGGCTCTGGCGGCCGGGACGTTGTGGCACACGGTGAAGTTCACGATTACGACCTGGCCGGCGACTTTGCAACGGATGGATGCTGTGGCGTCCCGCTCGGTTGGGCTCCCGCGGCTGGCCGCTGGGCAGTGGTCGCCTCCATTCTGGCGCATTGGCACTGCCGTCGTGCAACGGTTTGCGGCGGCGTCCCGAGACCGTCCCATGGAGGCCCCTGCCCGTACGCTCCCGATGTACTGGCAAGCAGCGGAGGTGGCCAAACGCGCTGTTCGGTTGTCGGTGGCAGCCGGCACGCGCCCTCACCCACAGAGGGCTTTCGTGAAGTTCCTGCAGGCGGCGGCCCACCCCGACACCTTCGACACGACCCTGAGGAAGAGGCTCGCTACATGGATCGAGCACGAGCGGATCCCACATGACCTCCAACAGAGGTGGCGGCAGTTGAGGGTCTTCCTCATTACACTGCCTCCTGCATGCATGCGGTGGATCGTCATGAGGACCCTTGCGGGCGGGTGGCACACCAGCTTCCGCATGCATGTTTTCGCTGTGCGGCATGCCTGCGTTTTTGGATGCGGAGAAGGGCGCGACGAGGTCAGCCACTACTTGCAATGCCATCATGCCCTACACTGGCTGCCTCGCCCTCGACAATTCCTTCATGGTGATCTTCTGCATCGTCTCGGGTTCGCCGGAGATGAGGCTTACCACGACGACCCACGGCCCGAGCACTCCAGGTTCACAGCAATGCGCAACCGCGTGTTGCTCTATTACCTATACCTAGAGGTCAAGCCTACGGCTTCGTCTACAAGATCACCTACTTCCACATACTCCATGCACAAAACCTGCCACAGGGTCGTCCTGGACAGGCTTAACGACAGCTTCTGAGTCTGGCCCCGCCCGCCGGCCGGCCAGACGAACCGCGTGCGGGCACTGGCGCTCCTCCTCCTCCTCCTCCTCCTCCTCCTCCTCCTCCTCCTCTCCATCTTGCTCCTCCTCCTCCTTTTTAACGTTCGGCCACCTAGAGGCGGCAGCCTGGAGGGTGCGTGAGTGCTTCTTCTCCTCGTCCTCCCCCTCTTTCTTTTTTTTTTTACGTTAGACCAACTGGAGGCGGCAGCCTGGAGTGTGCATGAATGCTCCTCCTCCTCCTCCTTCCTCCTCCTCCTCCTCTACCTCCTCCTTCTCAGCGCGAAACCAACTAGAGGAAGCAGCCTGGAACGTGCATGAGTGCTCCTCTTCCTCCTCTTCTTCCTCGTTGTTCTCCTCGTCCACCTCTTCCTCCCCCTCCCCCTCCTCCTTCTCCTCCTCCTCCTCTTCCTCCTCCTCCTCCTCCTGCGCCTCCTCTCGTCTCCCCAGTCCCTCGCCGAGCCCTGACGGCGCGGCCCCCCGCGCCAAGGAGCACCCGAGGAGCCCCCCGCGCAGGACGCCGAGCGCCAGCGTGCGCAAGGACCTGGGCCAGGGCGTCGGGCAGTCAGAGGAGGAAAAAGGCTCGAGTACGGCACAGTGCCGTTTTTAATACATGCTCCGCGTGCGGATCATGTATGGAAGATGAAGGGATTTAGTATCAAAGACAACGATGAATTCATGCATTAATTTAATCATACATTAATCGTTATTCAAAATCCTATATGGTTTAAACTCCTATGTGTGAAAAACTGCCCTGTAGGTTCGCGCGGCATTGGCGCGCCGGCGACGCCGGCGACGCCGGCGAAGGCGTTCAAGAATTAATTCTGCGACGTGGAAGCACCGAGGGACACGATAACGCCTTTGGGCCCGACGGAATTCAACCTTGAACGATCGGGGCCGCGATCGATTCAAGGTTGAACGATCGACGCGGTGTCAAAAACCTTTGTGAGCGCCGACGCCGCACGAACCTACCGTAGGGGATCGACTACAACATTGATTTACGCCCGGATCTTTCTCGTCGAATATACAAAATTTTGCATCCGTAGATCTACGAGCATTACACGCACTTTCGTACTTCCGACGGACAGCCACCGCTGGATTTGTTCCGGAATCGTAGAACTCGCCCTGGGAGAGGTCCAGAGAGCAGCGGCGTCGGTACCTTGTGGCTTCCCCTGGCAGGGCTAGGTTCGACTCCTCCGACTCGAGTCTGTCCGATTCCGATCGATTCCAAGTCCGATTAGGTTTCGGTTTCGGGTTCCGATTTCGAGCTCGGTTTCTCGATGAGGGCAAGGCCTTGCTGGTCTGCCGATTCCCGCCGATCCCACTTCTCCCGCCTTGGCTCCCGATTTCGCCGATCTGGCTCATGCCGATCGCCGGTCTGACATCGATTCGCTCGGTAGCAAAGCATGCCGCGTGTACCCTCTTAATTCCGTCTTTCGCGTCGACTAGTGGGTAAAAGCATATGGAGTCCATGAGATAGCGCCGATTTAGCGTCGGCTAGCGTGGACTAGCGTCGGTTTAGCGTCGGCTAGCGTCGATTAGCGTCGATTCGCAAGAGCCGGCAAGATTGTATGGGCCACCGAAGTTGCGCGTTCGAGGGCCGAGCCTGCAGTGGGCGGGGCGGAGGAGGTGCGGGGACGGCCGGACAGCTTCTCAATCTGGATGCTGAGACAGGTAGCTACTCGAGGCCTGCCCTCGGTGGGCGGCTGTGCCTGGTTGTCCTAGGCTTCGCGAGGCCACGGCAGCGATGTGCAGTCATGAACACTGGACGACGGGCCTGGTAATCAGCGTCCGTCCTTCGCTGCTGGAGCAGCTGATTGCACTCGAAGACTCATGGCGCCAACATCACAGAGCAGATTTCGCTCGGAAAACGATACACGATAGGATGGGCCCGTGGTGTCGTGGAGAATGTCGTTCCGGATTTGGAGGTGAGTTTAGTGCGGATCTTGTTTGGCCAGGAATGAAAACTTAAAAACAACCCACGCGACATCCACGTCATTTTTCACTCGCCGTTTCGGTTCTGTTTTATCTTTGCAAAAATCCACGCGAACAGATCCGCTGCAGCACGTCTTCGAGGTCGGTGCAGTGAGAAGAGGGTTGCCTCGACGCCACCACTCGAGCATTACGGTTAAGTCGGGCCTGTCCTCCTACATGGGGGATTTTGGACGAACCTTTAAAAATAGTCAAAACATTCACCCAGATGGTCACAAAATACTCAAAGCATCGTCCCCTGACTTTTTTCAGTATTTTTGAATATTCCTCCTGTAGGTGGACAGGCCCGACTTAACGCTACGGCGCTGTGCGCCTGGTGGTGTCGGTGTCGCTTTTCCTCGTCCCTGCCCTCCGCCATGTCCGCAGACGTGCTAAAGGCGATGTGCGTAACGGCGATGTAGGTTTCGGCATTGTAGGTGGGAGTGCCTGGTGGCCAAACCAATTGTAGGACATCGTGGTTCTTGATTTCCTCCAATTCGGTGCGTCGTTTTCGCTCGATATATTCGCACATTTGAAATGTAGGAAAGTGTGGTTCGTGAGTTCTTACAATTTGTTCAGCGCGAGCTCGGCATCACAAAAGTCGGATTCCCAACATCGCCGTTAACCAACATCGCCGTTAGCGCGGCCTTGGCATGTCTCCTCGTTCCCCCCCACCACCACCACCCACCCACCCCACCACGGTCCCAGCACTTCCGTGCGCCGCCACGTCCTTTGCCGCCGGCTCCCTCGCCCCAGGAGGTCCGCGTCACCGACCCCTCGCCAGAGGCGACCCACCGCCAAAGCGTGTCCATGCCCACGGTGCTGGAGTCGTGCCGTGGATTCCGAGGAGTGGTGGATACGGATATCTGCCCAGACGGTGGTGCGGGCAGATATTGCGTGTCGCTCCCCAAGTCCCCGGGGCGCGACCCTGCGGCGATGGATGTGGACATGCACTGGCGGCGCAAGGCGAGGTTGGTGGAGGAGTTCTGCGGCTTCCTCGCGAAGGAGCACGGCTGCGTGCTGAAGGCGGGGGCGCGCGGTGTCAGGGCGACTACCGACTGGATCCTTCGGTCGCCGGCGGGCGCGTCGGCCACAGCAGGCTCAGCACGGAGAGTCTCAGCAGCAGCGGCCGCGGCCGTGCAGCAGGAGCCACCGAGAGCCCAGGCGAGGACCCTTCTGGCGGAGAACTGCTCGGGCCTGCTCGGCCCCTGGGGAACAGGCGAGGAGGTGTGATGGGGCAGGCTCAAAGGATATCAGAGGAGAAGGCTTTGAAGAGCCTTGGTCTCTGCATTATTGCTTTTTTCTTCAAACATAAAGCTCCAGCGCGGCCCATGGAAGTGCCGACCCGTTCCCCTGGGCCGGTGTTTCATCCCGAGCTGTTTGGGACGGTCTGGGGGCCCGGCGAGGTCTCCCGGAGGTCAAAAACGGCGAGAAGTTTCCGTATATATTTCAAGCGAGCTTGCGTTCCCAATGCCGAGACAGGAGGAAGCGTCGAATGAACGGGGAGGCTGGCAAAGGGACGGTGCATGAGGTGAGCCAGGACGGGGCCGCCCAGAGAGGGAGACAGGGGGGCTGTTGGGAAGGGGCATCCCCGCCGACCGGCCTCATCCCGCAAACGTTTCAACAATGCGTGGTGCGTTTCAACAAGGGGAAGATTGGGTTGGGAGAAATGATAAGATGTCGCCGCGCCGTTTGTTCCGACGCGCGGCCTTCCGTCTCGGGGAGGGCGCCTCGGCCACCAGGGCCAACGCCGCTTCGGACGCGGTGGGGCTTGCCGTGGGGTTTGCCGCGGCGCCGGCGTCGTCTACTTGTGCGCGGGGCACATGGCTTGCCGTGGGTCTACCATGGTGTCGACGTCGTCCATTTGAGCGCGTCAAGATCAAACGGCGCGGCGACAGATCATCCGTATTATCACCTATGTTGAAGGTGTTCATTTTACAGTCGTACCGTGTATCATCCCCTTCCTTTCCTCCCAACACGATAGTTGTATTTCTCAGCGTCGGAGTCGGGGCGAACACTGCTTCCGTGTGCCGAGTCGGGTTTACCTGTATGAGCAGCGGCAACAGTTCTGATGGGAGGCAGTCCTCTTGGACGTTACTCGGCCACGTCTCACGAGAGGCCCTCATGAAACACGAGGGTATACATGATAGGTTTGGGGCTCTATTCTGGGCATGCGCAACGGCACCTCCCTTTTGGAATGCTTCATCTGTTCGTGTCTGTATATACATATATATATATACATATATATAGATAGATACAGGTATGTGTATATATATATACACGAGAGGCATTCCATGAAGGACCTCGTCTTCGAGGACCGATGGAGTTGATACCCCTTCCTCGGCGGAAGGCGGCGGAAGGACGGCGGAAGCCAGCAGAAGCGAAACGAGGCCGCATCCGCCGGCGGAAGCTCGGCGGAGGGCTAGCGGAAGCCCGCGGAAGTGAACGATGCGCCCCCAATGGGTGGCAACGGTCTTCGGTTCCGATTTTCCAGAACCCGCCACATATATATATATATATATATATATATGTAGCATCGGTCGGCTTATGTGGGCATCGCCTTGGCTGCTGGAGGAACCGTGGTCCCAGCCCGTCGCAGCGAGGCCACCACACACAGAGCACAAGGGCCAACCATGATATCCCCGTTGTTGTCTGGTGGTTGTCCCGTGGGCCATTCTGTGGTTATCGAATGGGTTGTGTCGTGGTTGTCAGGGGGCATGAAAATCGAAGGCTGCACCTCATAGGCCGCACCCCTTTGGGTGATTTCTGAGGTTACGGTGGGGGATGGGCTCAGCTTCCAGGCCGCGATTGGCGCCCGACCGGGCTCGCAATATATTCATTTCTCGACCTCACACGTTGGGTGTCTTCTGGGGCCCTTGAGGGGCTTGCTGGCGGTCTCGGGGGGTTCTCCTGGGGAGCGCTGGAAGCTATTACAAACGAGAATGTTACTCTCGCTCTTAAACAAGTTGTCTTGGCGGATGACCCAACCATATGCAGCTGCGAGCCCCGCAAGGGAAATGAAACGAAGGAGGGAGCAAATCGCGAATGGCCTCGGATGCGGCCCCTCCCCATAGGCAGCGCGCCACAGAAGGACGGGATGCCGGGCAGCGTGGATGCGGGCGGAGGACGGAGCAGACGGGTTTTGTAGAGCGAGGAGGATCGATCCCCGAAAGTGCTTGTTGAGACCAAGCGTTAGATGGAGGCGCAGGGATGTGAAAAGTGCGAAGCCAAAATCGGCAGCAACGCGAGCGGGCACGGGTGGGGGGGCACCTGGGCGAGACACAACTGGCACGCTTGTGCCTCTGGACCCAGGGCGAGCCACCTAGGGTGTAACACACGGGCGGCGTCGTCTGAAGACACGTGCGCCGACGTGCGCCAGCCATCCTTCGGGTGAATTCCGACAACACGCGGGAGTCGTCCAGACGTCTGCGAGAGATGCCGCATGCTGATGGCCCGCGCGGCACCAGTTCTCGCGACGCCCACGTGCGCTCGTCGAGGCTGCGGCGATGGGGCTTGCCCACCACCGTTGTCCCAGTGGGTACGTGCCGAAATGCGACCCAGAAGAAGCGCACGAGTGCGCCCCAGTGGACACGTGCAGAAGCACGACCCAGACGAAGCGCACGAGTGCGTCTCAGTGGATACGCGCCGTAGCACGACCCAGAGGAAGCGCACGGAGAGAAACGGTGTGGGGCCCTCAGGCTGCTCCTCTCCCGCCCTTAGACCCCGGCACGGGGTGCTGGGAGGGAGGAGATTGCCCACCGTCCTGCGGACCCTGCCACTGGGGCCTTCGGTGGAGCTCCCGATGGGGCCACGAAACGTGTGAGAGGTGTGCCGACATGGACGCGGTGGCGCCATGCGGACCCTCCCAGGGGTGGGGCCACGAAAAATGTGAGAATTATCCCGGACATGGGCACGGCGGTGCCATGTGGACCCTCCAACTGGGGCTTTCGATGGAGCTCCCTATGTGGCCACGAAACGTGTGAGGGGTGTGCCGACATGGGTGCGGTGGCGCCACGCCGTGCGGACTTTCGGTGAAGTGGGGAAGCTCCCTATAGGCCCACGAAGCGTGTGAGGAGTGTGCCGAAATAGGTGCGGTGGCGCCGTGCAGACCCTCACAGGGGGGCCTTCGGTAGAGCTCGCTATGGGACCACGAAACATGTGAAAGGTGTGCCAACATGGGGACGGTTGCGCCAAGTGGACCCTCCTATTGGGGCCGTGGGTGGAGCTCCCTATGGAGCCACGAAGCGTGCGAGGGGTGTGCCCAAATGGGTATGGTGGCGCCATGTGGACCCTCCTTCGGCGGCCTTCGGTGGAGCTCACTATTGCACACTATCGGGGCACGAAGCGTGTGAGAGGTGTGTCCCAAAATTGGTGCGTTGGCGCCATGCGGACCTTCTCATTGGGACCTTCGATGGGGCTTCCTATGGGTTCACGAATCGTGTGACGGGTGTACCGAGAAGTGACTGACGGCTCATGTTATTGCCGTTGAGGTTGATGGTAATGGTGATGACACTGGCCCAGCAGCGAGATCGTGGAAGGCATTGCCACGGTAGAGCACCGCTCTCAGCCGGCAAGTCGGTTTGTTGGCCAGGGGGCTTGGCGTCTCACCTTACGATGTCCTTGCGGGCACGCGACTGCTGCATCGGCTGGCCCATCGGCCGCACGAGGTGGGATTGGCGATCCCGTCCGTCCGGGCTGCTTGCGGTCTGACGCCGAGCGTCGTCTCTGTTCCCGTTTGCTTGGTCCGCGCGCGCTTGCCATTGACGCAAGTCTAGATAAATCGAGGTAACCCCAGAGATTCCAGATGACTTTGGCACAGAGTTGGCGTCACCCAAGCATGCGAATATTGTGCGCGCGTCCCCCCAGGGGCCGCGCGCGCGCCGATAAATCTTCTAGTATATGCTCTGTGGCGGGCGCTTTCTGGCCGTACCGCTCGGGAAACGATCTCTTACAAGATGGCTGTAATGTTTGTTCGGGTCGTACGCGTGCCGCTAATGAGGACACATACTGCTACAGGCTCGAAACACATTTTCCTTACGCCACACCAACGCCTAGGCGGGATCCCGCCTGGCCCACGCAAGAAGACTACCTTGCAAGGCGTCTTCGGGGAAATGGGGGGCTCGGCAGGCGCAATTTTACTGCCGCCAGCTTCCGCCCCCCTCGTTTTACTTCCGCCGCCTTCCGCGCGGCGAGCGTCATCATGAAATTCAAGGAACTTTCATTGGGCCGATGAATGCGGCATTGGACCATGTGGCGGAGTGAGGAGAAAACCTTTCCCAGCCTGTAGTACGTCCTTGTGCGCCCCACGGAGCGCACAAGCTCCAGCGCGAGCCGAGGCACAGCAGAAGTCGGCGAGCCTCGAAGAGCTATGTTCCGCCTGCGGCTGCGTCCCGGCCGTGCAGGACTCTTCTCGCGCTGTCCAACGCCCTGGGTCTGGCCCGTCTGGGTCCCGGTGTAACCGCCCTCCTGACTTGGCCAGGGAGGCATACACACCGCCCCCAGGATGGGCCTGGCCAGGGAAGGTGAATATGTGTCGGCTACCCTCTTTCTTATACTTCATTTCCTAGGAGGAGGAGGAGGAGGAGGAGGAGGAGGAGGAGGAGTCCCCAGCCCACGGGCCGAAGGGGGGCACGGCCCGCCCCCCGTGTAACATACGGGGGCCGCCAGCTCAGCCGAGCTGCCTCGCGGCAAGAGAAGGTCGGGCGCCCCTCAGCTCGCGAGCGAAGGAGGGGCGCCCGTCGCAAAGAAGGTCGGGAAGGACGAGTTCGGGGCCCACCTGAGGCCGTCGGACTGACGGAGGAGGAGGAGGAGGGGGAGGAGGAGGAGGAGGAGGAGGAGGAGGAGGAGGAGGAGGAGGAGGAGGAGCAGGAAACAGAGGAGGAGCAGCAGAAGCAGAGGAGGAGGAGCAGGAAAAGGAGGAGAAGAAGGAAGAGGACCGTCGCCCAGCCCCGCGAGAGCGCAGCAGCGGGCTCCAGGGGGCGGGCCTTTTGCCTGCCTGCGGCACTGGCCCCGCCTTCCTCGGTCGGCACCGGCCTCTCTCGCGGGGCGTCGAAGGGGAGGGCGAGGACTAGGCCGGGGGCGGCCAAGAGGGGGTAGCGTCCGTGAAGTTGTCGTTTCGTTTCGGATGGTTTTCTCGCATCGTCGAGAGCCTCCCGGGGGTACCCGGATCGTCCCGAACGGCAGCCACGGGCCCGAGATATGACCCGAACAGCGCCAGGCGTCAAAGAGGGGGATGATGACCAGGGGGGCCATCATGGCGGGGACCATGGCATCTCCCCAGATCTCATGGCCCCCTCTGGTTGTCTCCACGCGAGTGCCCCCTCGTCCGAGCTCATGCCTCGGGCCATGACGTGTGAGCTCCCTTCCCAGAAGCCCCCACTCCTGCCGGGGGCGTCGCAGAGGGGGAGGGCGAGGACCGAGGGCAGGACCCAGGCCTCCCCGAGCTGTGAGGAAAGCGCGGGCCGTGCTTTCATGCACGCTGCACGAAGTCGTGCTGCACGAGGGAAAGTCCTCGGCACATAATCGTGCCGCACGAGTCATATATGTGCATCTCTCTCTCTCTCTCTCTCTCTCTCTCTCTCTCTCTCTATATATATAATATATATATATATATATATATATATATATATATATATATATATATATATATATATATATATAAACACATATAAACAACAAACAACAAAGTGGTGCTGCACGAGATAAAACTCCCCGTCGTGCTCCACGACTGGAAGATCTAGGCAGCTCTGATGAACCTCGTGGGGCCCCTCGCCTGGCCCCTGGGGACCGTGGGGTAACGGCTCGGAGTGAGCTGGGCCTCCCAGGTGGGGTCCGAGCAACGCGGGTCGAAGGATCGCGCCGCATCGCTCGATGCATCGGTCACCACCCACCAACCCACCCCAGCCCAACCCGAAGGCCCAGATTTGCCCTCCCTTTCCATTGATTGGGGCGGGAAGTGGGGAAACTTTGAATGATTCACTGCGTGGAGCTCACCAGATGTGCATCTCTTCGCATGGACCTGTCCGCCGTGAGTGTATAGGCGCAAGAGTTTTCGAATACAAGCGGGCTTGAGTTGTGACGGTCTTGTCATGAATCTAAGTGCGAATTAATTGGAGTGTGAATGAGTCTCAGTAGTACGAGCGCGTCTCTGCGCATGAGCCTGGGGCCTCCTGAGACTTCCTGGGGCTTCCTGGGGCCTCTTGGAACCTCTTGGGGCCTCCTGGGGCCTCTTGGGGTTTCGTGTGGCCTCCTGAGGCCTCCTGGAGCTTCGCGCGGCATCCTGGAGCCTCCTGGGCCCCCCCGGGACCTCCTAGGGAGGATTCGTGCCCCAGAAGAGGCCCAATCTACAGGAACAGACGTACATAAAGCATTGCGGATTGGAACCGCAGGAGAAGGGCAATCTATAGGAACACACGTACGCACCAAGGACTCGTGCCCCAGGGGAGGCCCAATCTATAGGAACATGCATGAAACATGTCGGATTGTATACACAGGAGAAGGACCATCTATGCAAACATACGTACAACATCAAGGATCCGTGCTCAAGGGATTGGAGCCACTCCTGTTGCCTTTTGAGGCCTCCTGCTCTTGAGGCCTCTCGGGGCCTCCTGTTGGTTTACGGGGCCTCCTGGCGCTTCCTGTGGCCTCTCGGGGCCTCCTGGGGTTTCCTGAGACCTGGAGCTTCCCGGGGACTCCTGGAGCATCTTGGGACATCCTGTGGCCTCGTGAGTCTTCCTGAGGCCTCCGGATGCCTCCTGGAGGCTCGTGTGGCCTCCTGGGGTTTCCTGGAGCCTGTTGGGGCCTCCTGTTGCATCCTGGGGAGAATCTGTGCCCTCGGGTCTTCCCACCAAAACAGCCAAACCGACAGAGACATCCTCAAAATCTGGCCCCCCTGGGGGGCGAACGTGAGCGCATCGCTCGAGACATCCTCCAAATCTGCTCCGAAAGCGGAGGATGTTGGGCATGCAACCAGGCAAATCGCTCGAGACATCCCCGCCATTGTGGCGCGAACGGAGGCCGTGAGATAGCCCTGGCGCCCCCCTTTAGGAGTGCTAGAACCAGCAAGCCGCCCTTCACATCCTCATCATCTGCGCATCGCCATCATCAGCAGCATCACCGTCATCATCATAATCATCAGCATCATCTCCATCAGCAGCATCATCATCAGCATAGTTTTGGCTCGAGGGTTTTGGGTGCGTCAGCCAGGCTGACGCGATTCCTCGCGCTGAGACTAGCGCTACACGGTGCGCGAGTCGGCAAGCAACCATTGTGCCCGCCGCGATCGCAGGCGGGCCCGCCCGCCGCTGGCGGCCAGGGCTGGCAGGCGCAGCGCGCGCCGACGCGAGAGCCTGGCGGGGGGCGCCAGGGCTTGCGCGGGCCGCCACGGCACCCCGCCAGGGAGGATGGCGGGCCACGGCGGCGCGGGCGGCGGCAGCAAGGCGGGCTGGGACGGCGCTTGCCGCGTGGTCCCGCGGCGGGCCCGAGGCTGGCACGTCGGGAGGTCCAGGCCTGACAGCGCGAGATCGACGGCATCAAGAAGGAGAACGCGGCGCTGCAGCGCTCGGCGCCGAGGGGCGGCGCAGGTGCGGAGGGGGCGCGCGGCAGCGACAGGGTGGCGGAGCAGCGGGGCCTCGTCGCGGAGCTGGAGGAGACGGGCCGCGCGGACGAGGCCTCGGCGTCGCCCCTGGTGACGTTCTGGGAGCCCTACCGCGGCGAGATGGGCGAGTTGGACAAGCGCCGCGAGGCGAAGCGCGAGCAGGTGTCCGCGCGGAAGGAGGCCCTCGCCTGCACCGGGAAGGAGGAGCTCGAGACAGCGCTTGCCGAGCGAACCGATCTCGGCGCGGAGCGCGCCAAGGTCGCCGCAGCCCGCCCGGCGGAGATCGCGGCCAAGGCCGAAACGCCCGCCGAGCGAGGGCGCCTCGTCCTGGACTACTTCGGCGGCGTCCAGGCCGCGGCGGAAGGCCAGGCAGGCCCCCTTTCCGAGGCTGCGGCCGCAGCGCAGCCCGTCGAGGGGCGCAGCAGGCAGGAGGGCGCCGCCGTCGCCGCGGCGCCCGGGCCGCGCGGTGCAGAGGGCGGCACCTGCGCAGATCAGGACGAGACCGAGACGGCGGGCGCGGAGATGGACGACGCGATGGAGTCGGCCCTGGTTGCGGATCGATCTGGTGGGTTCTGACGGTGACGGCGGCAGCCTTGCCTCGGGCCTCAGCCGCGAGAGGATCCGCCGCATCGTCGTTGCAGCCCGCGCCAAGGCATGAGGCGACCGCCACGGTGTCAGCGGCGGGGTCATCAAGAGGAAGTGACGGCGGCGGCGCGCCCGTGCCACTGCGCCTCGACGCGCTGATCCCTGCGGGCACCCCCGCGGCCCGCGCGGCGCCCGCGGGCGGCCCCGCGGGGGCAGGCCCGCGCGGCCAGGGCGACAGCCACCCCGGCCGCCCCGAGGGCTCGGCCCCGAGGCGGCCAGCGCGCAGCGGCGCGCGCGCGCCTTAGGCCCAAGGACACATTCGAGATCATGACGGTCAACGGGTCTGGCCGGGGCCCGCTCGCCCAGCTCTGGCAGTCATCGTGCAGATGCGTGGCTTGTCCAGGAGACGCACCTCCACGCGCGCGACATCAGCGTCCAGGAGGCGCGCTGCAGGCGCGCGAGGGAGCTGTCTTGGCGCCTGGCGCGGCTGGCGGCGGCGCAGGCGGCGCCCGCGCGGTGTCGGGCGGCGTCGGCGTCGCTGTTCCCGCCGCGCGTGGCCAGGCAAACGCCGGCGCGGCGGGTGGCGGCCGCGTGACTTGCAGCGACGGGCGCGGCGTCGTCGCGGCGACGGACGCAGCCCGCCGCGGCGGCCTCGCCCTCGGCAGGATCTACCTGGCCAGCGACATGGTGGGGGAGGCATCGCTGCGGGCCCTCATCGAGATCGGCGACGCGCTAGTATCTCAGGGCAGGCCGCAGGTCCCCGGCGGCAACTTCAACACCGCGCCTGACGTTTTCAAGGCGATGGCTGTCTGGTGGCTGGAGGCGGTGCCGGGCGCAATCGTGCAGTCCGTCGAGGGCGAGACCTGCCCCCAGGCGGCCGCGCCCGCTAACCTCGATCATTTCGTCGTGCACCCCAGCTTGGCGGAGGCCGCGAGGAGCTGCAGCGCGGTCGCCCCCGAGCCAATCAGGCCCCATCTCGCCGAAAAGCGTTCGCTGAACGCGCGTGGAGATCGCGCCCGCGCGGGTCCTGAAGCAGCCGAGGCCGTCCCCGAGGGGGCTGCCCATCGGCCCGCGGCGCGAGGCCGCCCCGCCGTCAGCCGACCTGCAGGCGCTCGCAGCCTCGGCGCCCCCCCCCGCTGCGTTGGAGGAGGTCTACCTCGGGGCCATGTGCCAGGCCGTGGTAAAGCTCTGCTGCGCGTCCATGCCGACGACCCGCTGGGCGAGCAGGCGCACTGCGGGCGCGGCCAGGAGCCCGAGGAACGCTGGGCGCGCCCCGCTTCCGACTGCCGGCAGATCTCGGGCGGCCCCAAGTCGAGCAGGCAGGCGCGGCGCCCCCTCGCCGCGGCCGACTACCTGGACGTCGCCGCCGCGCAGCGGCGCACGCAGCGGTTCCCGCCAGCGCGGGCGGCCAGATGCTGCGGCGCACGCTGGGTAGCAGCGGTGGCGGACGTGGCCGTCGCGTCCGCCGACGAGCTGGCGGCGCTGGCATCCCAAGCTCGTCTCGGGGCCGCCGAGCTGACCGCCGAGCGCAGCCGACGCGGCCACGGGCGCTTCAACAGGTGGGTGCTGGAGGCGCTCGAGCACGGCGCAGGCGGGGTCCGCGCTTGGCGGCGCGGCCCGCGCGGCTGGCAGGAGGGCGAGCTGGACGTGCTGGGCGCCCCGAGAGCGGGCCAGCGCGAGGCGGGCGCCATCGACAGGCACTGGGCGACCGAGGTCTGGAGCACGGCCGACGGCTCGGGCGGGTGGCAGGACTTCGAGAGTCAGTCGGACTCGGAGGCGCTGCCCAGACCGACTGCAGACGAGTGGCTTGACGCCGCCAGGTCCTCCGCGAGGCGCGCGGGCATGGGCGTCGACCG